GTGCTACTTAACTATCTACAGTGCCCTGGTTTCCGAAATTTACCCGACACCAAGCCTCGAATTCACTGAATCAAATCTGTTACATATTCAGTGAATTAGATCTGTTACAGGGGGTCAGGAGGAGGTAGCCGAGCGCCTCTTCCCGCAGCTCTGTCCGCAATCTCATTCCCTTGAATTCCAATGTGACTAGGGCACCACCTGGTTTGAACTTTCCCAGGGTATAAAAGAGCTAACTCGTTAACCNCCGCAGCTCTGTCCGCAATCTCATTCCCTTGAATTCCAATGTGACTAGGGCACCACCTGGTTTGAACTTTCCCAGGGTATGAAAGAGCTAACTCGTTAACCCTATTAAAGGTACTTATGGCCGTCTGACCGCCGCCTATAATAATCGCCAGAGATCTCGGTTTAGAAATCAATCAATTTTGTTCACTCACCTTGATTCATCTACAATCCATATCAACCCTCGGTACTACGAAAAGAATATTACATCGATTCATCTTGCAACATGCAATTTCGAAATCTCCTTGTTCTCGCTACTTTAGCGACAAGTGTCTACGGTGCTACTGGGACAGGTTACACGTACGCATTTTGTCAATATAAAAATGTAAGTGCTCATCTCTCCTGTTTACTTGTTGGCATCGGAGTATATAATAGTTAAGTCTTTATAGTGAGGTGTGATTATTAAGCCTTCAGTCGACCAATCAGAAGATTTAGCATTTTTGGATTTTTTGACCACCCGCGAATTAATTAATCCAAAACTCCTTAATTCTCTGATTGGTCGGAAAAAACTCTTAGTAATCACACCTCACTATAAAGACTTAACTATATATACTCCGAAGCCAACAAGTAGGTAGCCTTGGCATAAAACACTGGGGTTTGAATTATATCTATCTTTCTAGAACAAAATGTTAATTTCTAATTATAGGGTGACGAATACACTTTAGCAACCTCAGCCGCATGCTCTATCTTAGGGACGGATGGCAAATGCATCGATTGTAAATTGCAGACTGGTAACGGTCCAACAAAGTGCACGAGTAGTGGAAGAAATATTGACCCTAATGTGGTATGTGTATTTTCCCAGCCTTTCGATTTATAATCACAGTGAAATTAATTGTTATATATATAACAGTGGCAAGACCTATGTCTTGAAGGAGGTGCTACGTCGGCAGCTGGAAACTAGGAGCATAGAAGAGTTGGAGTTATGGAAAGTAGTAGGAGTGTATTGGTTCCAAGCGACCGAGAGATAGAACAGTTGATCTTTTAAGTCCGATATCCGTACTCGGGGCACTCCCCTCGTTAGCCTACCGAATTAGAACCCGATTCAGACTAGGTTTCCTTGTACGCACTGAAACCGTATCCTATTCTTGTTCCTCGCATATGTACTATATAACATCAAATTACTTTCTTTGACAATATTATATGCGGATTATTCCTCTTTTCTTAGGCGAAATAATTATAGGTTTCTCAGGTGGTTTTACAGATAAACCGGGATATAAGGATATTCGTGGGGGCAACTCTCGTAAGGATATAACCGAGGTTATCCTTATAGCGAGGGTCTTAGTATGTAAAGGGTCTGGACAGCTCGGGTCTCCCCCCCCCTTGTCACTTTCTAATATACCTCCACATGCATTGGACAATTCAATAAGCTTAGAGGGCTATATTGTGGAGTTATACCCTGCCTATAACAAGTCGTATACAGGGGAGGGGGAGACGCGAGCTGTCTAGACCCTTTAAACCAAAAGAAATCGGGACCTAAAATTTAAGAATATAAACGAGGTTATCCTTATATCCAGGTTTATCTGTACTCTTTTGCTAACCTTAGCTACCCTAGCAAACGTAAGATTATTTCGCCTAGGACGAATTATATTAGAAAAAGCTAGATACCCTTGTTTATAGTCGGATGGGCGTCCGATAACCGACTATATTAATAGCTAGAGATCTCGTTTTGTTTCCATACTGTCATCTCATATAAACTATATCTACAAGCTATTTTAACCCTTATCTCATTTGTTGACCTACTCTCTATTACTATACGACAAAAGAAATGTTATACCGATTCTTCTTGCAATATGAAATTCCAAAATCTCCTTATTATCGCTACTCTAGCAACCAGTGTTACTTGTCAGAGTGGCATCGGTTATAGGTGGGCATCATGTCAAGCGGCAAGCGTAAGTCCTCTTTTTTCCTTCTGTTTAGACAGATTCTAGTACAAAACGCTAGGGTTTGACTAAAATCCACAATATGATCTTAATAGTAAATAAACATCCGTTTCTAACCGTGATGACAGGGCGACGTGGATGTTGCTGCGACGGCAGCAACATGCGAGCTTTTGATAAGGTCTGGCTGTACCGATTGCAAACCGGCCATCACACCTCCACAATGTCAAAGTCAATCAGGACAGATCGTTGCTAAATGGGTATACAATTCTCCGACCTTTCGATATACATAAACAAGGGAAAGCTAATTGTATCATAAAATAGTGGGTGACTCAATGCAGGAATTACGGGGCCACCTCAGCAATTGGAAACTAGGCGGATAGAAGAGTTGGTCATGAAGAGTGGTAGGAGTGAGAGGGTCGAACCTAGACCTACAAGGTACTTTGTAGTCTCATAAGGCAGTCAGGTGTGTTCTTCGGGACTCGGTGGCGTAGTCGAAAGAACAATATGACACTGTACCAGCACTCACTTCTGTAGGAGTATGTTGGTTCCAAGCGACGAAGAGATAGAAGCTTTAATTGTTTGAGTCCGATTCATACTCGGGACTTTCCCCTTATTACCTTGGCGAATTAAACCCCGAATTATGACGGGGTTCTCTGTACGTATCCCAACCTTATACCATTACTTTCACTTGTATATATATTATATCAGAATCAGTTTTCTTATTACTCCAAAGACAGTTTCAGATACAGGTTTCCTGGGTTTTAATACAACCGTTGTTTATGATCGGATAATAGCTGTCCGACAGCCGTCCGATACTCGTCCGATACCGTCTATAATAATGGCCAGAGACCTCGGTTCTTTGGCAAAGAATCAACTATCTCTACCCGCGATTCTATTCTATCGATTCTTCATACAACATGCAATTTCAAAATCTCCTTCTTATCGCAACTTTGGCCACTAGTGTCAATACTCTAAGTATTAGCGGTTACAGTGTCGCATGGTGTTTAGCGGCAAATGTATGTCCCCGCCTTTTATTCTGTTTACAAAACATCGGGATAAAAGACCAACAAAAAAACAGGGAAACTACGCACCTTCAGTAACTTCAGCTCTATGCACCCTTTTCAAGCAGGATGGTTGTGCCGATTGCGTAATGTCAACCACAGGAGACCCAACATGCCAGAGTCCTTCGAAACAGATTATTCCTTCATTGGTATACATTTTTCCAGCCTTTTGATTTAACGGGAAAGCTAACTGGATTAAAAAATAGTGGCTTCATTTTTGTGAAGATTACGGTGCTGAATCTGCGGACGGCACGCTGTAGATAGAAGGGTTGGTGTAAGGGTGCGATAGCGACAAGGTCAACTGTATGCGTAAGAACTAAATTGTCTACAAAGAGTGGAAGTGATCGTAAGATCTGAGGCTATTTACAGTTCCAAGGGCACGGGCCACATCGCTTTCTCCACGTCTGTACCCTCACAGTTGGAGTTATACGGAGTAGGCTACTTTTCTAGCAGGACTATGAGATAACAGGCAACGTTGGAATGAAGAATAAGAATTGTATTTAGTTATGTACCTTTTGGCTTGAACGAAAAAAGAGGATGTCATGCGCCAATATGCCGTCAGATCGTAGAATACAAATGAGGCTGTTACGATATCCGCACATAAATCATTATCTATAACACTATAATCACTGAGAGCTAACAATTGAGTACCTGGACCGGTATTCTTTCTTGCTTTCGAAAATATGATAAATATAGTGAAAATGAATATAGTCGAGTATCAACCTACCATATTAACATGGAAGACTCATACGGGATATCAAAGTTTAGCATATATCACTTTCTGTTAAACTCTCATCCAGTGATTAAGCAGTTAATCCCCACACATCAAGAAGATCATAGAATGAAATATCAAATTTGGTTATCTAGAGTTGAACGAGTGTGTATGTGTTCCCAACTCCAAATCAATGCCAGATAATCATCCCATGCACGAGGTGATATCAACAAGCAGATATTCCGCACCACAGACGTAATCTCATGCGCGGCAAATATACAAATGAAAATTAATTGAAGAGTGCATCATCTCCTACGCGCATTGTCGCACTGCTCAATGAACCGATAAATGCCTTCTAAGCCCTCGAAATCAGATGACGAGTTCTCTAGACCGCTAGGCTTGCTAAAGTATTCCGATTCGTGCTCGCTAGGTGAGTCCATGCTCTCGTATCCTTCGAGCCATGGATTTTGCATAATTATCTCATCTATAGTTTCATCGTCGTAATCGTCGTCTTCGATGAAGTTGTGTCCATTTTGTGAGCGTAGAGAGCCTCCCGGCGAAGATAGAGCTTTCTCGGATGTAGGAGCGAATGGGAACATTAGAGCCATGTTGCCTCCAACACTATGATCGAAATCTTGGTCTTGATGAATGATTCCTCTTTGCACACCAACTTCGTCACAAAGACGTTCAACCGTCTCCGCGTCGCATCCTGGAAACCGCACTCGAAGAACGGATTTCTCCTCTAATGTGATTGGTAGGTCTCCAAGAGATGAGAGTCTTTTCAAATCGCCCAATGTAGCCGCGAGATCCTTTAAAGCGCGAGCGAAATCGACGGAGAGAACATCAAGGAAGCCCTCCGTGTTCAGATGAGGGGTAGAAGCTTCCATTATAGAGCCAGCTGGGAATATTTTGCCCAGAGGTGTGAGTGCTGTGATGGTAGGGTTGACTTTGAAGTCGATAAACGAGCCAAGGGTATGTTTAGGAAGAGATCTCATTTTACGGCCAGTCTCTGCTTGAAGGGTCGAAATGGCACGATATCTTTTCTCTCCTAATGAAGTTGTTCCATCGTATTGGGCCTTGTTTCCCGATAGAAAGAAAGCGCGGACGGCAATGGATACGTCATTCATGACCTGTGCTGGAGCAGCAGGGCCATGTGAGAAATAACGAGCTCCATTGGCTCCTCCACCTCCTAAACCATAGCCACCCGCGGAACGAGGGAGAGCTCCTCCAGTCAGGTTTGGTCGTAGGGTTGAGGCAAATGGGGTTCTAGTAGTCAATCTACCAACAGCTCTAGCTGTAGCGGAGGGTGGAAAAGAAGCGCGATTATATTTGGGAGCAGATTCCGAAACGCTGCTCATAAATCGGCGTATGGATGCATTGATGGTACTGTGTGTAGTGAACCATCTTCCCTTACTTTGTCTAAGACGAGCGGCAGGATGGATTGCGTGTCGAGGAGTTACGCGTACGAGAACTGGTTGAAGTTCGCGATTTAGCGGTCGTGATATCTCCGAAAGTCGAGCTTTCAGAAGATTAGAAGTCTTCTTGAAAGCGTATCTGTTGCGGCAGTTAGTACTTGGACTTCGGAAATGGGTGGAGTCATATCTGGGCCGACTCGGCGGGTATGTGGATGGGTACAGAGGTTTAAGTATGCAAAATAAACTTACTTGAAGGTCCGAATGGCTATCGGACCCCATAAGCCTCCGCTGAGAGCCATGTTGGACAAAATTGCAAAGGTGTTTCCTTCTGTGACGAGTACACTAAAGATGGGAGTGAGTCCAGTCGATGAAGTACTCCAACGCCGCCCCTCTTCGCCTCATTTGTGGGGAAAGTCACATGGCTGTGGCTGAGCTGGCCCGGCTCCCCAAGAGCTCGTTGGTCCAAATACAGACTAGTCAGAATCTTTTGGCGCTAAAGCTCGCGCTAAGAGTTCCCCACCAGCTTTTGAAAAACGTCGCGAACTTTTTTTCCTTCCTCCCGCAACACTCTCCAGCAGCAACAACCACCTCTCAAAGCTCTCTCAGATGACCTTTGACCATGGCGCATTTGAATCCCATGCTCTAACATCCTGTCCATCAGGCCCTGCTTCCAGCATTGTGTTTCGTTGTAAGCTTTCCCGATTCCCGCTCTACACCCAAGCCATTCAATGATGAGACAAACACATAATTGAACAATCCAACTCTTACACCGCAATGGGGATTTGTCTATTATTCTGAGCTACCTATCCCAATCCCCTTGCTTGTCATACACTCTCATCGCGTATTTTGCTAACGGATTACAAAAGGTCGCGTCATTGACTCGCATCACGTCGCACGCGCTTCGTCCTCGATATAAATCAAAAGGTTCGTTCATACAACATTTTCTTTTTTCTACCGCCAGCATCTGCTACCGCGCCGGGGTGTGATGATGAATTGACACTATAGGAATTCCTCATTCCGAAGTTATCATGTAGATTCTGTCTTTTAAAAGTTTCAGCCTTGTCTGACCCTTCTCAACTTGTTTACTTTATCAATTATTCACATGGTTGAGGACATTTTGCTAATATTGCTTCAATGAATAGGTACATAACTCATTCCTCGGTCCTTTTCCTCAATGCATACTATGACGAACTTTGAACGAACGGGCGGACAGACTATGCACTCTCGCCCCTACTTCTCATCAAAGCAAGGCGTACAAACCTTGTGAGGGTAGACGGTTGAGAAGTGAATGTTGAGAACTCGTCAGCTGATCCATTGCATGATGTCTTTGGGATCTTCGAATACAATTTTCGAGTTGAACATTGGCTAACATACCTCTTGTTAGGTAACCACTTATTTCTCCCATGTTCTTTTTCCTCGGCATCAAATGATGAAACTTATTCACACTGTTTGAGACCTTCGGGTCGCTGAACGTATAACAAAAATTCTGATTTAATGAGGTATGCAAACACTTGTCGGATTATGAGCGAATCCTGCTAACTTATTTCAGCCTGAAATTTGCCTATTTATTTTCCAATGATAAAATTCGATTATTATATCATGAGTTGTAGCTAACGTACCAACTCGTTCGCAGGTAACCGTTTATAAAACTTCTCAATCTTACTTTGCACCAGGTAAGCTTTTTTCACTTTTACTGTTCTTCTATAGATGCACCCTTACTCTGATGAATCCAAATATATCGCTGTGTTCTTTCCGAGTTAATCATTGACGAAACATATATTTCACCTTGGAGAACTGATAAAGTTACTCAAGTTTTTCTCCTTAATGATCTCATCAACAAGCAAAAACATGAAGGCTAACTTATATAGTTGCACGTTGGAAATAATAATTTAAAGATTTCTGTGGAGGTAGTATATCATGGTTGAATGTAGCGTTGATAAAATGGATTCTTTACTTATACCTTATCGTTTCATTGTGACTACTGCTTTAAATGTTTGTGGTCATGACATGCGTAAGACCCTTCCCAACATGGGGAGTATTTTTTAGCTTGGAGTTCATTGAGAGTCAAGGTTCCAAGGAGCAGCGCAGTGGCTCACCACGTGTCAGCGCAACTACCCATGGACTTAGTTTAGTCTACGTCCTTGAAGGATTGCATCAACAAAATCCAATAAAGACACCAAATCAAAGCTTGGTCCTCCTACATACCAATAGGCGTCGCCTACAGACAACTGACTCGCAGTTACTACAATCGACGTGAACAATCCCGACTCCCACCCCCCATAAAAACCCAATTTGCTTGACCCCTTGTCAGAAAGAAAGGAAGAGAAGGGGACAGAGGAAAATTATGTATGGATGGTATGGTATGATTGGTATGCCAAACAGTTAATAAACACGCTAAATCGCTCGATTGAGAAGAGGGAAGGGAGAACGATCCTACTAGATAATTCGTCCTGCCCTTGGAAAAAAGAAAAAGAAAAAAAAGAAAAGGTTTACACAAAAATGATGTTAAACGCCGGGGTATACCCAATTCCCTCATGCTTTCATGCTTCCTTCCTCCCAAACGCTCCTAGGTAATTCGAATTGTAAATTCCCGCCTGCTCGCTTGGCTTGCGGTTGTGGTTTGGTGATGCGAGACTTGGTCCTGCTTGTGTGTATGTACATTTCCGATCCACGGGTTGATCGTGTTCGCGATTTGGAGTTTTCCTTATCCAAAGACGAGGGCGTTGATGATGTGTTGGTGGTTCCAGCCTTGGGCTGTGAGGGATTGGTTGTCCTTGAGGATTTTGCCCATATATGCTATTCGTATGGATTTTGGATGGGAGAGCTGCAATATGATCAGTATGCCATCTTTCAGTTCCCTAATGGATTTTGAAAATGAAGAAAAATGAAGGGGAACTTACCCCCGCCTCCTCCAGTAATCTCCGAGCAAGAAACCTGACCGTATCATCTTTCCCTACACTCACAACAATATCCTGCCCCGCCCCATCACTCAGTCTCGCCGTAACACTGATCAAATCCCGATCATTCACAACCGCCTTCCCCTTCTCCTCCCTCCGCCGCAGTATCTCCTCCTCATCAGGCTCATCACTCTCCCCGTCTTTATCCTCGTCATCCGGCACCAACAATGGCGAATGCGCCATATTCGTCGGATCCGCCACGATATGTTCAGGCATAGGATAAAAACCCCCAAACCCATCATACGCCCCATTCGCCAGATCCCCCGTCGGCAGCGTAATACCCGCCGCATCAAGTATCAACTGTGCAGTCGCCATCGCTTCTTCGCCATCCGCGCCTCCTTCCTCGCTCCCACGCAGGATCTCCAGCGCGGCGCGCAGCGTCTGCCATATCTCCGGTCTCCCAGAGACTCGGGTGTCGAAGAAATCGGTCCGCTCACGATCGATGTCGCTCCGTGTCCAGAGACGGGTTTTACACGTCCAGACGTGTCGTTTGAGCGGTCGGTTGATGTGTGTGGATAGTGGCTGGGTGTGTCGTGTGGAGTGGTGGGTGCTGTGGTTTGAGCCGTGGGTTGAGGGGCGCGGGAGGGCCGAGTGGGATTGTGGTTGGGAGGAGGTGATTCCGCGCGAGGAGGAATTGGGTTCTGGAGGGTAGGGGGAGTTGGATGTGGTGGAGTGGGATAGACAACAGCCCTGTTTTTTCTTATGCGTTAGCTTGTTGTGATTTGTTTTTTCGGGAAGGAGGGGAGCTTGCCATTGCGAAGAACCATGGGGGTTGAGGATAGGGATGGGTGGGTTTGTTGGAGGGGGGTTTTTTTTTCTTTGTGAGTATGATGTTGGAGGGTGGTTGTGTTGCTACTGTTGCGCTGAAGAAAAGAGGGGCACCACACGGCTGAGTTGTACGGTGGGATGCGATGCTGAAAGGCTGCAAATGTAACGCCAATATCTAAGATCTAATATCTAACATCAAATATCAAATATCAAATATCAAATATCAAATATTTAGAAGAATTCAATAAATGTTGCCCCAGTTTTTTTTTTCCCGGATGAGAATGTGAATGCTGCGCAGCTACTAAGTTACGCCGTGGCGAAAAGGGGAAAAGTACTTAGTGTAGGTACTTGTACTGCACATCACTTACTCGAGCAGAAGGTTTCATTGCAAACCTCTGCGAGCCTGCTAGTCACCTAGTATCTCACCTACACTACAGTACCTAGGTAGTGAGATCGATGACAAGTACCTGCGCCCGTGCCTATGAAAAAGGGCTAATCTTAGTGGTCCAAACATCTATGATAGACTGAGCTAGCACCGTTAGGTGTCTCGTCCTCGTCCCCAGAAATGATGTCAGCGTCACCAGGACAAGGTCTTGGGGATATGCTTAACCTCGCAAATTCTGTGAGAAAGTCAAATAAATTCCGAACTTCGTCATACCCTTTCTATTGATAACTTCTGTAGCGAAATAACTCCCTTGTACTGAGTATAGATAGTTGAGTGGAATAGTACTTCGCTTTTGAGTATATTGTAAGAGCAGAAACGGGCTATTCGAGTACCTCTACTCGAGTACTGGTACCGTGTGGATAAATCTTACTGTACTTGTACTCGCAGGTTACACCCAACGGTTTTGATTTCGCTTTTGCTTTTGCACAGCCATTGCCAATGTCATTTTGAGACCTCAGGCACAACCCCTGGTTTCCTCACTCCATTCATCAACGACCAAGAACACTTCCACATCACACGACCAAGCGGTCAATCAACGATCCCCAAAATCCTGGGAAAACCATATCGAGACCCAACACTTCCACATTATTGCATCTCAGAAATACAACTGGGATCATAGAAATGGTCTAGGGACCAAGGAAACCGAATAAGACTGAACGAACTCAGCCCAGCTTCCTCCTGCACGTCTCTGCATCAGCATGGCTGTGCTGGTCTCCTCCCCTACGAACCCGGAGGCATTTTTGAAATGGTTGGGGACTTACTGGGATAGTTTTGATTGTGGATTGGACTGTATCGGCATTGCGTCACTTGATTTTGTTGCTTTGGGAAGGAAAGCTTGAGACGAACTGGTTTCTATATATATACTATATATAGCTGAGATAAATGAATAGATCCTAACACAGCCCTAGCACCTGTCCCATATATACCCTCTATAGAGCCTAAAGTACATATAGATTCTAGAACGACCTTTACCTTCAAAACCTTGCGCCTTCAAACCCTTGCGGTCGAAATCAGCAGCCGCATACCCTTGGAATGCTAATCTGCCTTGGAATTGTCATCTCGATAAACGAGTCACCTTCGTTCAGCTCTTTTCTATGGATCATATCTGTGAAGTGTTGGCGAGCAATGTCGTATACGAATAAGTATGCGGGTTGGAAGAAAATAATTGGCAGCATCAAGAATGGTTCAAAGTTACGGAGAAAGTGGAATGTAACTTTGTGATGGCATGTCTTTGTACGCCGCAGGAATGAGGGAATGTATATTGTTGAGGTGGAATGCCCTGTGTCATTACGATGAGAATCTTTTGAAAAATATGCCTAGAGTTGTTTGAAGATTCGAAAGCACACCAACTTGTGTCTAAACCAATGCACCTCAAAGAATCTAGACCGTGTTTGGAAGGTCCATCGTTGCAAACTATTCTGAAAACGACCCATGTTATCCTACACTCGATCCATGCCATTGTCGAAAGGTGTGGTGAGTAGAACCTACGACTACTTTGCTCAAGAAGCATCCTTAAGTGGAACCTCCAGTTTTCATAAAGATAGCTAAAATCCAATCCTTGTTCCTCCTCCGAATATTGCCTGCTATCTCTTAGTCCTTCTAGAAAGGTAGCCCAGTCCGTATAACTCTAACTTCACTAGCGAATCATGCCCCCGTCCCCCCACTGGCACAGTATCCCCTACATGAACTTACCCACTATTATATAATACAATTAGTTTTCCTGTCTCTATATTAGAAGGCTGCGACTATATATATATTAGTAGGATTAATCAATTTAGTAGCACTACGGCACGTTATAGAGATACTATCCCACTACATCTAAAAATCGTTATAGCTACTATAGTTCTTATAATCGCTGCATGCGACATTAGTCTTTTTAGAGAGATCAACACCCTATAAATGGGAAATTAATATCTTGTTTGAGATATTTTAGATATAAGTCAAACCCTAGTGTTCTGTCCCTTCCGGACGCTAAGGTGCCAGATAAAACGTGTACCTAAAGTGGAGGGAAAGTGTCTACCTTTACGACATTTTCCTTACAAAGTCGAGTTGTGTGGCCAACCAAGCAGTTTTTACAAGCCTCTGAGTCTCTATTTGAGCCAGCCATCACATCCACTTTGGATGCACGTTTTATCTAGTACTTTGGCGTCTCGAAGAGATACCCGAACTTGTCCAAACAGGAGAGACGGGGACCTCCATCTTTATCTAGACACCATGCGAGCGACCAACCGGCACAAGAGACACTCGTTGCCAAGGTGGCGAGAAGAAGGAGGTTTTGGAGTTGTATGTTGTAAGAAGAATCGGTGATTTCTTTTGTGGTATAGCGACGACTAGTAGTTTAATAAATAAGTAGGATAGAAGTCTCCGGGGACAGGTCTTAGGAATGGCGCTACCACGCTGTGTGGACAAGTGGTAGAATAGATTGTAGAAGTAATCGGTACGAGAACACAAAGTTGATTAATTTTCAGCTCCAAGATCTCTAGCGATTCTAATAGGCGGCGATCGGACGGCTATCATCTGACTATAGTCAAGAGTATCTAGCTATTTCAAATAGAGAACCTACCTTAGAGGGGAAAGCGGAGTTTTTTAGACTATCTATAAATTAAACTATTTAAATATAAAATAGTTATAAATCTAAGACTATTTATAAGTAAAATACTCTTGAAACCATTTTATATTTAAACAGTTATAAATAAAAACTATTTTAAAATAAAATAATTATGAAATAATTATAAAGCTATTTAATATTAAAATAATTATTAATTTAAACTAAGTTATTATACTTATTAATAGTCTTAGGATTATTATATTTTTAAATAGTTATAAATCCTAGACTATTTTCCTTTTAAATAATCTTAACGTGGTTTATCAGTGAGTCGATCATATCACCGAGTCGATCACTTTTCCTTGGCACTACCTCCTCAAACTTCAACACACGTTTTCTTCAACTATTTACCATGGAAATTCAAACTCAAGAAGCGCGAATTACTCTAGCTATCGAGGCTATTCGGTCGTCCAAAAAACTAAGCAAACGCTCTGCGGCAAAGATCTACAATG